GTGGGGCTTGGTTTAACGCTACCTGAGAGATCTGGGTTTCAAGCATCTTATTATGAGTAATAATTTGATCAACCTTGGTTCCTAACTTGGTAATTAGTTCGTTAACATGGACGTTATGGTTCATGAACTCTTTGTTTTGTTGTTTTTGAGCAACGATAAAATCTTTTACAACTTCCTCAAAGCTCGGGCTAGGTGGTACAGGTTGCATAGGTTGATTTGTTCTAGGGGCTTGGTAACCTTGTTGTCTCGGAGGTGCGGTATTTTGGATAGGGTTATTATTTTTGTAGGAGAAGTTTGGGTGATTCCTCCATCCAGGGTTATATGTGTTTGAAAATGGGTTCCCTTGGGTATAGTTCACTTGCTCAGTGTTGGTTTCATTCAACAGATTGCATTCGGCGGATTGGTGTCCTTGCGTTCCACATATCTCACAATTCGGCGAAACTGCGGCTACAGTATTCGGAGTTGTGCACATATGTTCGACTCTAAGGGCCAACGCGTCCATTTTAGCCTGCATCATGTCTATAGAGCTTAGCTCATATATTCCTCCTTGGGCTTCCTTCTTTTCCACTGTCGCTCGTTCTACTCCCCATGATTGATGGTTTTGGGCCATATCCTCGATAAGGGCACTAGCTTCAGGGTAAGGTTTGTTCATCAGTGCGCCACCAGCGGCAGCGTCGATGGTCATTTTAGTGTTATAAAGAAGTCCATTATAGAAGGTTTGGATGATTAGCCAATTCTCTAGGCCATGGTGTGGGCATGCTCTTAATAGTTCTTTATATCTCTCCCAGGCTTCGAACAACGACTCTCCTTGGTGTTGGGTAAATCTAGTTATTAGGTTTCGAAGAAGAGCGGTCTTACTTGGGGGAAAATATCTAGCAAGGAAAACTTTTCTAAGGTCATCCCAAGTTGTTATTGAATTGGGTGGAAGGGAATCTAACCATGATAGAGCTTTATCTCTGAGGGAAAAGGGAAATAATCTTAAGCGTATTGCCTCAGGAGAAGCTCCATTGGTTTTAAAGGTGTCTGCTAATTGAAGAAAGTTTTTTAAATGTTGGTTCGGGTTATCGGTAGCGAGACCTGCGAATTGTCTCTGTTGCACTAATTGCAGAAGGGATGGTTTAAGTTCAAAATTATTGGATGGGATAGCGGGGTTTACTATACTGGAACTAGGTTCCTCGTTTGATGGTTGGGCGAAGTCCTTAAGAGGTCTTCGGTTTTGATCTTCGGCCATAGCTCTCCTATTCCTATGGAAAAACAAACGTGCGCGAGCGTAACGTTCAGGTTCAGCTAGAGGGTCTACTAAACTTCCGGCACTGCGAGTCTTTCGCATTGACCGGTGGGTAACAACCTTAGTCTAAACGGTATAACTACAGGGTAATGAAATTTGACGATATTGGTCCCCGGCAACGGCGCCAAAAACTTGATGCGTGTTTTTCGCAAGTGTACGAATCACGTCAAAGTAATATAAAAGATTATCGAATCCACAGAGACCAAGTGTCAATCTATCGTACCTGTTGTTATGGTGTTTATCTAAGGCAACTATTTTTAAGGGTTTTAGTAAGGGTGCAATGGTAAATAAAATTATAATTTTAAATAATAAATAAAAGACAGGCTCGAATGTAATTCACGTAATCAATGATAATCCAGTACTTGTTAATGGAACTACTTATGGGCAATGTTTTCTCCTTTGAAAAGAACTAATTTAACAGGAACTGTCGCTTTCGCGTATTCAGAACCGAGTTGTACTCTCTAATCAACCCCTCCTATTGTCACGGATAAAAAGGTGCGTACTGCGTTAGAGTAGTAAACCTATTTTTAAGAAATATAGTTTCTTAACAAAGTTGAAAAGTATTTTAACCTGGACTTCTTAGCAAAAAGAGGTTCTTATGAACCAGACTCTAAATCTCCTAACGCGTCCGAAAATCGTTTTAAAATCTCTTTTCTTTTTAATCTAAAAACTCCTAATGAACTGTACAAAGCGCTTTTGGCTGTTTTTGAAATAGTTAAAAACAATTACTTGAATTGAAAGATAAAATAGCCCTTAGGTGTTTCCACGAACAATTATACTGATTACTGGTTTAATTACGATCCTTACATTCTAACCTTTATGGGATTAGTTAGACATGATAAAGTAAATATTCTTTTTATAGTTTTTCATATGAGTAATTTAAAGCGAGTGCGGGAAATAAACAACGTAAATGTGCGAGTGCGGGAAATAAACAAAGTAAAGTGCGAGAAAATAAATAAAAGTAAAGCAATGCGGGAAAATAAAATACTAACTGGAATTAAAATGGCGGCAGGATTAACTTCCTCCAGAGTGCTCCAAAACTCGAACCACAGACAGATTACAGACTCGATCACTCGATTGCAGAGGCACCCCGATGTGGAATGGCAACTGCTTTATAACTGATATATGCCTAGAGAATTCTAATTCTGGATGAAGAAAAACGAGAATCTAAGGTCCTATTTATAGGAGAAACTGAAAGCGCGAAATGACCGGGACGCCCCTCCACTAAAAAGTGGAGGTTGAGGATTTTTGCCTTGTGGCGCCCGCCACAGGCCTATGGCGCCCGCCACGGTCCCTACAGGGGATGATGTAGTGGGGATCGTGGGTCTTGGAGGTTGAGGAGTGGTCTTGAGACGTGGCCACGTCATGGCTAACCCCATGGCGCCCGCCACAGTGGGTGCCGTAAGTGCAAAATGCTGAATTTCTAGGTTTTCGTCCGTTTTCACTCCTTTTTCGCTCCTTTTCCCGATTCCAGCTCCGATTATTATAAAAACCTGAAAACATAAGAAAACAAAGCAATAACAAAGCAAAACAACAATAAAAGCTAAGAATGCATGCGAAATCGGAGTCAGAAATACGGTGAATTTTAGTGTGATCAAGCACATAAATAAAAGAATTTGCAACAGACCTCCAAGAATAGCCACTCCCTGGACAACTCGAAGCTTTGTTATGGAAAACTCTAAGCCCAATGTAAAGATAAAAAAGATGACACCAAATTGAGAAAATGTCTCAACTTAGACCATTTCACTAATAAAAATCCTCCTTGTCCAATGATTGATCCTACTAATAGATATATAGTCATAACCGGTTGTCCAGCACAAGCAAAGGCTATGCCACCACAGGCTGCAGAGACAATGACAACCACAAGATCTGATATCAATCTCAAGTCCAATTGTAGAACAATATACTTTGACTTGGGACTGGATATGATAAAGATATTGTTTTTCAATCAATTAAAGTTGGTGTTTCCTCAACACGGTTCTCACTGTCCAAATTGAAAACATCATGGACTAAAATGACTTTTCTTCTTTGCTCTCATTTTTCTTTGTCCTAACTCTAGCAACAATTTCTAAAATAGTCTGTTGTCTAGCAACATTGTTGTTGAAACTACCAGCATCATTGGTACCATTATTAACTGTTAAGTATAACAAGTGTGAGTAGTATGGATAATAGTCTCACATTGGATATGAATATGGTGACTTAAGCATTTATAAGTGAGAGAATCCACCCACCTATCATCTTAAGGTTTTGGATGAATATGTGGTGTGTCTCTCACAAAGATCTTGCTCAATAAAGAATTCCCACAATGTTCAATGCTCCATAGATAAAAAAAACTTCCCCAACAGTGGTATCATGAGCCTTTGGTTCGAGTGAAAGACTGACTCACTTGTATCGAAAGTATCCCCGCAGGCGGTGGATTGAGTGTTCCATTGAAGATTGTCAACAGCGGTACAAGTGTATGTAGATGAAAAGATCTTCCTCTTAAAGGGGAGCATTGTGGAAGCATTGTGTATAGACTCACACTTGAGGGGGAGTGTTAAGTATTACAAATGTGAGTAATGTGGATAATAGTCTCACATTGGATAAGAATATGGAGACTTGAGCACTTATAAGTGAGAGAACCAGTCACAATCAATTTTGATCTTGAAAAGACTAAAAGGATATATCAAACACTCCGACAAAACTAAGGGGTGAGCAAGGTTATGGAAATCAATGTAGCGTACTTAACCTGTCAACTCAGAAGCATGAACATCCGACTTCCCATAAGTGGATGTCAATGTAGTGAACCAATCAGAATAAACATCGGCCAACCGCTCAGAGAGAATCATTATTCGTTTATATTGTTCGCGACACAATGGAACTACCATAGGAAAGAGTACAGGCGATCCAAATCAAAGATAAATCCAACAACTCCCCACATTATACGCCTAACAAATAACTTGTTATAACCGACCTATTATATAAAAGATACACTAGAAGAATTCAGGTACACAATTTCAAAGTCAAATTTCATTCGCTCTTCTACTCCACATACTAACTTAGGCGTTGAAGTGTTTAACTTTGTAGGTCAATCTATTTTCCCTACATCAAAAGATTAAATTCATTATTGTCCTTTACAACTACCGATTCGTCAATCAATTATGAATATAATGAAAAAAAATCTAATTACAAATGAAAGAGAAGTGATAATGGATTCTAGGAATTCAACTTAGTCAGAGTGATAATTAAAAATAGTTTCAATTAATCGTATTATATATCACACTAGCGTCCAGATGGGCACTCGCGTGCCCGTCTGTCTGCTTTTTTATTGCACACATATAAATATAAATGATATATTTTTATTTAATATTAATTTTACATGGAAGTTATGTGAGAAATTATTAGTAGGAAGTTATATGAAAGATGATAGGAGTAGTTCAATGGAAGTTATTGTGTAAGTTATATATTTTAAAATAAGGGTAAATTTGATATAAAAAAAAGTTACACCAAAAAATAAGTATTGTCTTTATATATGTTATAGATTATAGATTAATAATTGAATTTAATTTAAAACAAACAAAACGACAGAGAAGCTAAACAAACGACATTATGGTAGAATTCCCCATTCGGCCATTCGCAAATCCACCTCCCAAAAACGACTACAAACACTTGTCCCCACGCCTTGGTTTTCGCTTTTAACCGCAACAAAACGCAACGCATCAGCAAAAGCAAAATGGAAGTTTCAGAGAGGAACAAACACCATTACATTCTCTCAGTATTCATCATCCTCGTTACTTTCATCTTCGACAATGCACACTGTATCAGGTTCCCGGATCGGGTCGCCCAACCCGCCCGAGACCAAACCGATCAACAGCACTTGCAGACGGCCGTATTCGCTCTCGGAAGTTTCTGGAGATCCGAAGCTGTGTTCGGTTGCTTACCCGGCGTTGTTAGGACCACTGCCGGGTATGCTGGCGGATCTAAACCTAATCCTGAATATCGAAGCTTCGGTGATCACGCTGAATCCGTTCAGGTTCCTGTTTTCGTCAATCTTTTTTATTTCGTGTTATGTGCATTGTTGATTCTTAAGTGCTTTTGTGTAGTTTCGATTTTGTGGTTGATTTTAGAGTATTTGAATTAGCTTTAAATTTACTGAACTTCTTAATTGGAATAACTATAAGTAGTATTTGGCTCTTAACTTATGGTGCAAAGCAACTGGATAAATAACTTAATTAAGCGCTTATTGATAAGTCTTTAGTATAATAAGTGCTTATGGATGAAGTGTTTCTATGAAATAGTCAAGTTTGGGGTGAATTTATGGTTGGCTGATTAAGTCTTGGATGGTAAGGATCATGATATTTTTTGAAAAATTTGGGATCCTTGGTCCGTGAAAAGGCCAGGTTTTATTTAACTATTGATTCAATAATGGTAACAGTGCAGCAAGCTTGACCAAAATGCAGTGGTCTTGATTCTGGAATTTATGGAGACTACTATATATTTATAACTTTGCGTAACATTCAACCGGTGGTGTGTTTTTATTTTATTCCATGAACAAACTAAGTTTATCAACCATCTTACATCGAATAATCCAATACAACTTTGTTTGTTTACTGATACAGTGAGTTGAATTTGCTGTTATGGTTTGGTAATATAATACAGGTTGAGTATGATCCACGGCTAATTAGTTTTAGGGAACTACTTGATATTTTTTGGTCGAGCCATGATCCCAGGCAGGTGTATGGCCAAGGTCCTGATGTGGGTAATCAGTACAGGTAGGAGGAGTGTTATGTTATGCCAGCTGCACTGCTGCAGTTATTTGTGATATTCTTTCATATTCAATCTGATCCCAAGTGCTAAGAACTGAACTATACTATACTTACATTCCAACAGATCTATTATTTTTGTTAATGGAACTGAAGAATCAAGAATGGCTTCGGTCAGCAAAGAACAGGAGCAAACCAGGTCAAGAAGCAGCATTGTAACTACTTTAATTATGCAACTTGGAACATTTCATCCTGCAGAGCCAGAGCACCAGGTTCGTTATTCCAATAATAATGTTTATTAATATTGATGTAGAAGATAAGCATTTTCTACACATTTGCACAGATATGGGTATTAGTAACCAATACACTATCACAGTGACATTTAAGAAAATTAAAGATATGAGTATAACAATTTGTATTTCATAAAATATTATATCTTATATGCAGAAAAGATACAGTTAAATTGATCCATTTGTTATCACCACCATAATTCGAGGCTTATGTGTTCTCTATCTAAATTAATCCATTTGGGGAGCTCAGGATTGCAAGAGTGAGAATATGTTTGTGGCACTAGGTGAGAGTGGGACTTCAATCTGTTTCTCAGTTTTTTGAGTAACAATTCTTTGAGGACAGTAGGCATCCATGGTCCACAAGAAATAGAGACTTTGCCTAAAATATTCATGCAGCTGTATCAGTTGAGTATTGGTATTGGATATAGATTCACTAAGTATTCTTTGCTATACTCGTAGGCATAGCCTTGACCCTGAGTCAGTGAGGGTAGAATGAATATCCGTGTTCAATAGGTTCAAATATATCATATAAATGTTGGTCCTTCAAATATATCATATAAATGTTGGCCCTTCAAATATATAAATATATAAATCCTGTGTTCAGGGAGTAAAATACAAAAATATAGATTTTATTTGGAATTTTTTTTTTAAATGACGGTGCACTTGCACACCCTCACATAATGTTGTTCTGCCATTGTTCTTAGTATTGAGGGCAATTTTATTTGGACTCATGATGCATTGCTTGTGTTGTCACTTTTTAGAAAACAAAATCAACCTGTTTTAAACAGTAGGAATATTACTCCCCATTAGGGGTTTTTGAGATCAGCTAGTGCTCAATTTTATTAAAAGAAGATATGAAGCATGAATGCATGATGATTAATTAAAATATTAAAAGCAATAGCCTTTGGAAATTAGAAATAAAAACTGTCATATCTTTTAACAGAAGTTAGATTAATTACTTTTGGAAGCATGTCTAAACATATCATAGAATCAACTTGTATTGAGCTTGAACATATTTGGCCCAATATTCTACATTCATAGATTTGTTTTTGTGGTCAAAAAGTGCTTGTCAAAGACAGTTTTCGATCCCATTGTATTACTGACTGACATTGCTGTTCTGTTATAAATATGCAGAAATTTGAACTGAAGCAAAATACCTTCCTTCTTCAGTTAATTGGGAACCTGCCTGAAGAGGAGCTCGAGAGCTCAAGCCTTGCAACGAAGTTGAATGGATATGTAGCTGAGCTTTGCCCTCCAAATATCCAAAAGCATATTGATGCAAAGATCAACGAGATTATAAAAAAGGGTTGGCCCATTTTAAGGGAATTGTAATTGGCCTTTAGAGGAAGTTGATCATATTCATATTGTCATTCTTTAGCCATCGAGCTCAGTATATCTATAGGTTTGGTTCAAGAGTTTGTAATATCATTTGCTCAGCTCAAAATACCAGAAGGAGGATCAAGCATATGATTTTATCATGGCGAGAACATTACTAGATTATTTTCTTGTAATTATTGTAATTGTGATTGAACTCATCCAATGAAAAAGAAACATTTCTTACTTGTGGTCTCTTAAATTTCATTTTCAATTTCCCATATGATGATGACATTAGACCATCCATCAAGGGGAGGATGAACCAATTACGTTCATACTACTAGTAGATTATTGTGAGTTCCGGGCATCTTTTAAGCATTTATTTATAATATTAAAGGGATAATAACTATTTTGCCTTTAATATTTAAATATTAAAGATTTATAATCTTAAAAAAAAAATGTTTTTAAGATTTATTGAATAAACATTATATTTAAATATAACATATGACCATTAATTATTAAATGAATTTAAAAAACAATTTTTTTTCTTACAAATAAGACTAGAGAAAGTAGTTATTTTGTCCCTATCATATAGACGAAACTTTAACAAATCTTGATAAAAAAAATTTTAAGTTTCATTCTTAACACTTCAAGATTCTTTTTATTTGGTATCTTTAACTTAAGAAAAGGAAGCATCTATGCATTAGACTAACCTTGTTGCTTGTTTATTAACTTCTATGGTTTTTGAATTTTGGCATCATATTAACTTTGTTGCTTGTTTATTAACTTCTATGGTTTTTGAATTTTGGCATCATATTATCTTCACCTAGTATGTTGTTACGTATAACAATTAAATTTGAGAATTTTTTTTTTCTTCCTATGCATTTTTTTACGAACCATGTGATTTTCTATTATACCTTCCGTTTTTAGAAATATATTTTTGAATGCGCATTTTTTACACTTAAGGAAGGTCATTTTAGATGGCGCCTTATATATTGGGTTTAATTATATTTTCGAAAAAACATCAGATATTGATTTAAAAAAAATGAAAATTTCAAACATAAAATGAGCATTACAATGATGATTTCAACTGAAAATTCAATATTACATTTCAATATCTTGATGAGTGCTTGCACATCTTCAAAATATCTTCGACTAATCTTCGTAGTGTCGCTTCCAACTCGAGCGGAACTTTCTCTTCGAAACCGAAATATGTATCCCACATAGCCCTAACATTAGCTCCAGTCTTGAGCTCAAATTTGCTGAACACAATGTTCCCTTCGTTGTCAACCGAATGTGAATGGTACTAAAGCTTGACAACCCTTCTTTTGTCTTCGTAAGGTAGGAGATAGTGGATTTCGTATAGGATATCTTCGACGGGGGTGAGATCGGTGAGCTTAAGCGTCTTTCCAGGTGTTTTGCCGCCAGAGTATGAGACATTTGCGACATACTAACAGATGTTTATTTGTGACATTTGAGACATTTTTGAGTTTGTGTGAAATGTAACACGAGAACACCTAAATTTATAAAAGACCTAGTTTAATATAGATCACTCATTGTCTGTTATATTGATTCCTGATATATGTCTCCGGAAGCGCACCCTATTATCATTTTTCGGCGATGCATCTCCAGAACTTTCCCTGAACCATTTCAAAAACAACCATTTAAGGGAACCTTCTAGAGATGTATCTCTAGAAATTTTCCTGAAACATTTTTAAAACATAAGCAATTGACAGAGAGTTCACAACGAGCAAATATGAATCAAATATGAACCAAATATGCATAAAGACCAAATATGAATAAAAAGTGAATATGTAACATTTCGTTTATATTGAGACACAATTATATACAATTATTTGTTAGATTATACAAAAAATCAAAATGAATCGAAACATGTGTCGCCGTCTAAATCTATAGGTGATACCCCCTTGGACTTTTGTGCATTCGATTCCTTTTCAATGTTGTTTAATCTATCGAATTCTTGCATCCTTTTCATAAAATGATTCGGTCACGTCTCGGCATTTGTGGTTGAATGATTCGTCCACTCCGGTGATGTAAGTGGTATGGGGCATCCCGGTTTTAAGTAAACTTGAATAAAATGACTTGATTGTGAAATCCAACCAATACACATGATACAATAATTTAGATTTTGGGGTGGTGCGATGCGCAGTGGAAAAAAGATTTTCGAAAACCTGTAGTGTGTCAGGTTAATGCACATCCTATCATATGCACAAGCTATTAGATGACCCATATCAAGGAAGGTCATTCAGTTTGCCTCCGGTGCCGGACTGCTCAAGCAAGGAACAAGAGACTCATAAACCGCATTGTATCTTTCTTTAGTTCTGTACAACCGTGTGTACTATTATTTATGCGTCTTCAACTCTTGGATAAGTTAATGCTAGACAAGGGTATGACTATCTTCTCCTTTACCGAGTAAAGATGAAACGACTCGGTATCCGCAATTACTGTTCCCTTCAATATTGACGATACACTCGATATATTTGTGCATAAAAATTGGTATCTCGTCAATGAATGGAATCTTCGGTGGAAGCAGCGTCGTAGGTGGTTTATTAATGTAGGCTCCTTTCACAACACTTTTTTGAGATTTTGGATTCGGTGAGTCAGGAAAAAGTTTGTCAACATGTTCAAAATATGAAGGAGACCGTGTAACCGAGTTGTCATTCAGTGTAGGATTCATTTTCTTCATAGCACCTTTTGTTTTTACCGGTTGAGAAAGCGGTTTCATGTCGGTGGTTTCGGAATAGGTAATCTTCCTCAATTGTTCTTTGATGTGGAATTTCATGTTGTCATAGGCCTTCAAAAATATCTCTTGTATCTATTCCCATTTGGTCAAAATAGAGATATTTAATTTACCTTCATGCTTGCATCCATCATCATTAAACCTAAGTCTTTTCCAATGAGAGAAAACCTCGTACATTCTTATTGGTTCACCAAGTTTCACCTTTTTTGCAATAAGACAAGAACATGGGAGACCACATGTTTTCACAATAGTGCAACTACACTTTGCACTATCGGAGCCTACATTATCAGCTCGTTTGGCCTCGTGAAAAATATAGTTCAACCCCACCCAAGAAATGTTGCCTACTGTTGGCTAGAAATTTCGACTAAAGAAAAGTGACACAAAGACTGGCTTGTGGGTCGACAGGCTGGGAAAGATGGTGAAGGAAATAAGGTAAGTCGACGCCAGCAGAGGAAGGCTTGTGGGTCGACTCAGGCAGGTTCTATCGACAAGGACGACTGATGGGCAAGGAGGCCAACACAAAGGACGGAAATATTTGAGCGAGAAGAAGATTTGAAACCTGAGAACGTGGGAAGTTACAGAAGTGGTGGAAGGACACGTGGCGCCACCAAATTCAACATGACAGTTATTTTATTTTCCTATTTAAGGAAATGTCCATTTTCATTTTAAGGGGACGCATTTTGTAACATTGTAAGGGAAAAACACTTTGAGTACCAAGCGTTAAGAGAAAAGAGTTTCATTCCTGCAAAATGCATGACCGCGTCCATATTTACTCTTAATAAGCAATTTATATCATCAACTTTAAAGATTTCTTGTCTTGTTGTTTTTGTCTTTTCTTGTTTATGCATTCATCTTTATTTAAGTTTACACAATCTTTCTAAAATTTATCTTCAACCTACTATAATCAACACCATTTCACCACCATCCAATACACTCGAAACCATCGTTCTGGGACTTGTTTGGCCGGTCCCGCAAGTAAACATGCGTTAGAAGGTCAAAGGTTGTTCGTGCGAAAACTGTGTGCGAACAAATTGGCACACCTGGTGGGAAACGTCGATTTGGGTGTATACATATATGAAGTGGTAATATGGTGATACCACGTTTAAACGAAGAACCGTCTTCGGCGGGAAATACCATTGTGACTCAAACAACCAACGTTGGCGCTGACACTGTGTTTGCAGTTTCGAATGCTCATAATGGGCCTATTGTGACGCCATGTTGGTCTGAACCTAGGCCTATGGTGACAAGAACTGGGGAGAAATATATGCTTAGTTTCACAATGCCCACGCTTCGGGCCTTTGGGATACTGACAGAGTTCATGTCGAGCCTGCATCACAGCGGCCCACTCTTTGGGGAAAGCTCTCCGTCAGCTTTTTTGCCGTATTAGGGGTTAGGGCCTTTGGAAAACCAAGTTATTAGGCCCCCAGGGTTTAGTATTTCGTCACTTTCGTTTCCAACTTTCACTTCAAGTTCTGTCGCCATCATGAGATATCAGATGGATGAAAGTAATCACGAAATGATCCACATGTTGGCCCAACAATTAGACACCATATTAAGACCACTAATACAAGATTCGACTCAGAGTTACCAACAACTGGCAACTCAGATGATGCAGATAGGTGATTTTTTAGGCGCTCCTAGGGCCCCGGGTCGACAGACGCTGCCGCCCCGACCGGAGATGCCAATTCGACAAGACAATTAACCAGCAACCCCATGAGGTTGAACACACATCCAGGGTGGCCTAAAGGTCTCCCATTGTTTTAGTTCATATGAACTAGGACCCAGACTATGTGGTCAGACGGGCTCGACATGAAGCCATGGTTGGCAAACCCAACTTAGAAGCCATGGTGGAACGAATTATGGTTCGCAACAAGGAGAACCCAGGCCTTCGAAGACCAACATATATGTCCCCACTATGAGACTTCATTCTGCAAACAGAGTTGCCCAGAGGGTGGAAGGTGCCAAAGTTTACCAAATTCATCGGAGAGACCGAGGAGTCCACCGTCGAAGATGTTGCTAGATACCAAACTGAAACAGGCGAGATATCAAACAACGGGGACTTAAAAATGAAGGACTTCCCAAGTTCCCTCACCAAAAATGCATTTACTTAGTTCACCACCTTACCCCCACAGTCTGTCTATACCTGGACACAATTGGAAAGATTGTTTCATGAACAGTTTTACATGGGACGGTAAAAATTTAGTCTGAAAGAGTTAGCCAGCATCAAGCGAAAGGCTACAGAGTCGGTGGACCAATA